ATTTACATGTTGGCTATCTTCTGGATTATTAGCTAGGTTTAGAACCAAGAAGAGCGAGTACTTGATTTTTTTATGGTGATAATTTGGGTCTTCTATTTTAATTTTTGAATTTCATACAATTTTGATGATAATCATTGTGATAATTTTTACTATAATTTAAAAAATTAGTATTGTTTAGAATGCCTTTATGTTTGATTTTACTTTGTTTTGATTAGACTTGAAAAATTCAGGTTATACAATGAATGGAAGTGTTGTGTGGGTCTATTAGTGAATGTTTCAAGAAATGGAGAGCAATGGCGCAACGGCCCATTAAACAAGTGAGCCTTTTTTATTCGTCACAATTTGATATCTTTGATTGGGGAACTAGAAGTTTATTTATTGAGTTTCTTTTTGTTGTAATTTTTCTTCTTGATATAGGTGATTTTGGGGATGGAAGAGAAATTTAGATCAGGTTGATTCAATAGAATAACTTTGCCTATTACTTTTTTCACACCTTACAACTCTACCAGTGCTTATAATCAATAAAATTTTCATTTTAAAATTTAGACACTATAGGCACAATTGTATATTCATTTTAAAATAGATGCGACAAACAAATATGATTATCATAAATTAAAATTTTGATTGGATGGGTTAGAGTCAATTTTTTTTTCTTTTTTTTCTTCTTCTTCCCTTTACCCCTGTGACTCTTAACTCAATATATTTTAGTTTCGTTGAGTAAAAATCATCTGTTATTTTGTACAAGAGCTGAGCCTATTCTTTCCTATCTTTTTTTTTTCTCTTGTCTTCTTCTCTCATTTTTTATTTTACTTTCAAAGTGATTAAAAAAAAAAAAAATTATACTTTTAGCTTTGCTAGTTATTTTGCAAGACTATAAACGATGCTGAGATTGGCTCAATGACGTCTTGAAAGAATTTGTAAAAGAAAAACAGTAAAGAGGTCTAGATTAACAAAAGCCAGTTTTAAGCCAATTGGTTGTTTCTTTTTTTCTTCAAATATTTGGTTTTGGAACTAAATTAATTCAGTAGACCATCTATGTTATTAGTTAGTCATCCTGGAGTAATGAGTGATGGCATAAACTTAGTTTATGCTTGAAGTAGTTTAAACCTACTTTATACTTTTAATTGGACGATTATGCATAATGGTTACCTCATAAGTGAAAAAGAAGGTGGTTTCACTTTCAACCCTTAATGTTGGGGAAGTGTCCTCTTAAATGTTGTTGGCAAATTCTTGGTGATTGATTTGGAGTATACAACATGTTATCAATCACCTAGTAAGCATACAAACCAACTAATTCCTTTTTCTTTTTTTTCTTTTTGTAGTAGGCAGGTCAATTGATTGGTTTGAGGCAAAAGTGGTGTTGGGTATGAGGTGAGGAAAAGCCGTGAATTTCATGTAATGATTTTTTGAAATGATTTAGATTTTAGAAATCCATCTTCATGTAATGAGTTTTTTAAAATGGGTTAGATTTAAATGTGTTTTTGAATGGTTTTGATTCCAAAAATATTAAATTGATAAATGAACCAACACAATTATTGAAATGGGTTTCTGAATGAGTTTCTAAAATCAATTTTCATGCACTGATTTTCGGTAACTTATCTTTATTTTGCTTAATTTACTTCCCCAATGTAACTATTTTCTTTATATCATTTGGAGTATTAATTATGTTTTGCTTATTCTCTTTTTAACTGTTTCGTTTCTCTACTTAATTATGTTTAATTCAGTTTCATTCTCTCTCTTTCGTTTTTCTGTTGTGGTAAGTATCTTTTATAAGTTTGTAATCTTTGTTTAAAAAAATAGTACATTTAATTTTATTTAATGAACCTTTGGGTTTAATTTTAGTTATATTTGCCCATTAACTTGATTTCAAGTTTGATTTTTTTGGTTGCCTACTAATTGTTATACATATCGCTTCAACTAGAGAAATGAGTTAAGCATTATCACAGGGATGGAAACTCAAAGGAGCATGATCATCCAAAAATGGATACTTCACACAAGGTAAGCTTGAATTGTTTAAAAATATAATTTTGTTCGGTTTTATAGCCTTCAAAAATTCTTCTTCCTTATAACAAGACTCTCTTAGTCTTAATAAAGAAAATTATTCGCTTCCCTTACAAAATTTGAGTTTAATTCTATTTAGAGGTTTGTATGATTTATCGGCGTTCTCAATTGATCCTTCTATACTATTATTTGCTTTTCTATTCATTTGTTTACTTTAGTAATGCATACAATTGTGTATTCTCATTTGTTTACTTTAGTAATGCATACATAATTCAATTGACCATAATAGTTATGTTCAATTCTTCTTAATTCGTAGCTATTGATTTTCCTATTTCTCATATGTATTTTGATGCAATTTTTCATGTTACATTTTCTTTTGATGCAATTATTCTTCATTACAATTTCTTCCGATTTTCTCATATGCATTTTGATGTAATTTTTCATAGCTATTGGTTTTTTGAAGCAAATTTAAGCGAGTGATTTTGTTGCAAGTCATTGATCTATATTAGAAACATTAGGTTACGTTGTTTCTATTGGTGTCGTTGGTTGGTTCTCTCATGTTAATTTTTTTTTTTTTTTTTTTATTGTTTGAGCTAGGATGGTTCTTTTGTACCAAAATTTTCATTGAGCTTTATTTGAAGGCATTTAAACCTGATAAAACGAAAGGGTTACCGGTTATGATTCAATAACATTCTTTTATTGAAGGTTATCCCATTCTAACTTGCTATAGTGTATATATTTGGACTTTTAGTTTAGCAAATGTTTCTAGATTCTTTGCTTGTGCTACATTCAAATATATAATTCATTTTTTGGACTTAATTTTGAAATTTGCTATTTGAAATTTATAAATGCTTTTGCTAATTCAACGTGTCGAAACAATTTCAGTTTCTTATATGTGAAGTTTTAAGTCAGAGTGATATTACCATTTTGAAATGATTTATTACCATTGAGTTTTGTAGCATGTGATACCAAAAAAATTGTTGGCAGTGCCTTCAGGCATGGGTTATCCCTAGTATTATATATTAAACATTAAAAGGCTAATAACCATCCATTAAATAATAATCATCCAAAAATATCAACAAAAACAACCACTCAGTACATGATCATCATCCAAACGCATAAGAAAAATTAATTTGGTAAAAAAATAAAGTATTTATCATTTTTTATATAATTTTATTTTTGGTGTGTAAAAATAATTTATAAAAATTTAAAAATATTTTGACATTTATTTTTGTCAAACTAATTTATATTTTATCAAATTGATGACTTTGTCCTTGAAATGGACAAACAAGGTCTTCAATTGTCCTTATTTGGAATGAGATTCAAAATTCAAGAGTAAATGTATCACAATTGAAAAGTTAGGAACTAAAGTAATCTCAAACTACTGGGACTGATTGTGTGATTTTCCCAAATTAATCACCAACACAATCATCCATCCAAAAATTTTGAGCGGGAAAAATTATGTGACATAAATGACCTCGTTTGCAATTTCTGTGTTCTCATTTTTATTTTTCATAATTGTGCTATGAATTTTTCTCACTCAGAATGCCTTTGTAAAATGTGAAGCTCCCCACACAAATACTAATTACTTACTTCCAATTGTAGTCTATAGGCTATAGTATAATAATTTCACCATTTATTGGTCTTAAATACATACAGCCACTTTAACTGGTACCACAACTTTGGATCATTATATATATTCAAGCACAAAATGAATACAACAAGAGGCAAAACCAGAGCTAGCTCTTATTGGGTTTGCTTGCTGTCTTCTCACCTAGATTATCATGGCTGGAATACTTGCTCTCTTAACTATGCTTTCTTTAGCTTTCTTTCTTACAGAAACCTCTGTCCATGTCCCCGCATTATATGTATTCGGGGACTCAATTGTTGATGAAGGAAACACGCAGCCATCTCCACCATATGGCATTGACCTTAACACAACAATACCCATTCGTTAGACCAATGGAAAAATTGTTGTTGATTTCATTGGTAAACTTTGGATTCTTTTTATTATTGCTCTCTCCCTCTCTCCCCCTCACTCTCTCTCTCCCTCTCTCTCATTTTTTTCATGGTATTATACCAAATGATTCAAGAAATATCCTCTTGTTTGTGGCGAGCTTCTTGGGATTGCCATTTGTTCAACCTTCCACGAACACTTAAGGAGTGGAAATATCCAAAACTGGTGTAAACTATGGATATGCTGCTTGTGGTTTGTTGCGCCAAACCGACCCTGTAATATAAATAACAATATTTTCTTGTTCGAATTATTTTACTTCTCTATAAATATACATGGTGATTGTTTTAATTTTAATTTTAACATTAATTTTTGCAGAAGAATTGTTCTTTTGAAGATCAGATCGGCCAATTTAATTTAACTGTGGCAAATGATCTTACAAAAGCATTCAACGAACGCGAACTTGTCTAACATTTGACAAGTTCTGTTTTTCTTGTTTCATTTGGCATAAATGACTACTCCTTCAACTATCTGTCCTCTAGGGTTGTGAGCAAAATGGCACCCTAAGAATTTGCAAAAATACTTTTAAATGAAATGTCGACGGGTTTGAAGGTAAAAAAGTTGGTGAGTTTCAAATTTTCTAGTGTTTGGAATACGTAATATGAAGATATGTTAACAAAAATGCCATGTTTTGCAGACATTGTATAGATTGGGGGCTAGGAAATTTGTAGTTAAGAACATTTGGCCGTTGGGATGCACACCAAACTTTGTCAATCAGACCCTTGGGCAGTTTCTTGCAATGAAACTATCAACCAGCTGATCATTCCTTATAGTAACAGTTTTCCTAGCATGCTGAATGATTTACAATTTTATCTTACTGGTGATGCCTTTTCACACTCAAACGATTTCCTGTTCGTGACAGACTTGATGCAGAATTCGGGAAAATATGGGTATGGAAAACTACTCTTAAACTATGACATTTAGAAGCTTCATGTTTTCACACAAAATGTTGTTTCATATGAGTGCAGTACAAACTCCATTATTATTTTTTTTTAATGGAATGAGTAGTTTTTTGTTTTAAAAAATCTCAATCATAATTAATGTGGCCAATATTATGTTTAGAACAAAAAATGACCCAATTATTAGGCCTCAAGTTCATAACCAGATTCGGTTGGCTAATAGCCCACCTTCACCTTATCAAGCAAACTAAACATAATATTGGCCACATTAGTTATGATTGAGATTTTTTAAAACAAAAAACTACTCATTCCATTAAAAAAAAATAATAATGGAGTTTGTACTGCACTCATATGAAACAACATTTTGTGTGAAAACATGAAGCTTCTAAATGTCATAGTTTAAGAGTAGTTTTCCATACCCATATTTTCCCGAATTCTGCATCAAGTCTGTCACGAACAGGAAATCGTTTGAGTGTGACAAGGCATCACCAGTAAGATAAAATTGTAAATCATTCAGCATGCTAGGAAGACTGTTACTATAAGGAATGATCAGCTAGTTGATAGTTTCATTGCAAGAAACTGCCCGAGGGTCTGATTGACGAAGTTTGGTGTGCGCCATAACGGCCAAATGTTCTTAACTACAAATTTCCTAGCACTCAATCTATACAATGTCTACAAAACCTGGCATTTTTGTTAACATATCTTCATACTACGTACTCCAAACACTAGAGAAAATTTGAAACTCACTAACTTTTTACCTTCAAAGCCATCGACATTTCATTTAGAAGCATTTTTGCGAATTCTTGGGGTGCCATTTTGCTCACAACCCCAGAGGACAGATAGTTGGGGGAGTAGTCATTTATGCCAAATGAAACAAGAAAAACAGAACTTGTCAAATGTTGGACAAGTTCTTGTTCGTTGAATGCTTTTGTAAGATCATTTGCCACAGTTAAATTAAATTGGCCGATCTGATCTTCGAAAGAACAATTCTTCTGCAAAACTTAAAATTAAAATCAAAATTGATACAATAACCATGTACATTTATAGAGGACAGATCATTGGAGGAGTAGTCATTTATGCCAAATGAAACAAGAAAAATAGAACTTGTCAAATGTTGGACAAGTTCTTGTTCGTTGAATGTTTTTGTAAGATCATTTGCCACAATTAAATTAAATTGGCCGATCTGATCTTCAAAAGAACAATTCTTTTGCAAAAATTAAAATTAAAATCAAAATTGATACAATAACCATGTACATTTATAGAGGACAGATCGTTGAAGGAGTAGTCATTTATGCCAAATGAAACAAGAAAAATAGAACTTGTCAAATGTTGGACAAGTTCTTGTTCATTGAATGCTTTTGTAAGATCATTTGCCACAATTAAATTAAATTGGTCGATCTGATCTTCAAAAGAACAATTCTTCTGCAAAAATCAAAATTAAAATCAAAATTGATGCAATCACCATATATATTTATAGAGGACATATAGTTGAAGGAGTCGTCATTTATGCCAAATGAAACAAGAAAAACAGAATTTGTCAAATGTTGGACAAGTTCTTGTTTGTTGAATGCTTTTGTAAGATCATTTGCCACGGTTAAATTAAATTGGCCGATCTGATATTCAAAAGAATAATTCTTCTGCAAAAATTACTATTAAAATTTATACAATCAGCATGTACGTTTATAGAGGACAGATAGTTGAAGGAGTAGTCATTTATTCCCAATGAAACAAGAAAAACAGAACTTGTCGACAAGTTCTTGTTCGTTGAATGCTTTTGTAAGATCATTTGACACAGTTAAATTAAATTGGTCTATCTGATCTTCAAAAGAACAATTCTTCTGCAAAAATTAAAATTAAATTTAAAATCAAAATTGATACAATCACCATGTATATTTATAGAGAAGTAAAATAATTCGAACAAAAAAAAGTTGTTATTTATATTACAGGGCCAGTTCGGTGCAATAAACCACAACCAACCTGTCCATAGTTTACATCAGTTTTGGATATTTCCAATCCTGAAGTATCTGTGGAAGGTGGAAGAAATGGCAATCCCAGGAAGCTTGCTGCAAACAAGAGGATATTTCTAGGATCATTGGGTATAATACCATGAAAAAAAGGAGGGAGGGGGAGAGAGAGAGACAGAGACAGAGAGCAATAATAAAAAGAATCCAAAGTTTACCAATGAAATCAGCATTAATTTTTCATTGGTCCAGCGAATGGATATTGTTGTGTTAAGATCAATGCCATGTGGTGGAGTTGGCTGCGTGTTTCCTCCATCAACGATTGCGTCCTCAAATACGTATAATGCTAGGACATGGGCAGAGGCTTCAGTCAGAAGGGAAGCCAAAAAAAGCATAGTTAAAAGAGCAAATATTCCAGCCATGATGATCTAGGCGAGAAGAACTGCAAACCAACCTAATAAGAGTTTGTTGTAGTATTGTCTTTTGTTGTATTCATTTTGTGTTTGGATATATGTAATGGTCCAATATTGTGGTACTAGTTAAAGTGGCTGTATGTATTTAAAACTAATAAATGGTGCAATTATTATGCTATAGAGTCTATAGATTGTAATTGGAAGTAGGTAATTAGTGTTTGTGTGGAGAGCTTCACATTTTAGAAATGTATTTTGAGTGAGAGAAATCCAAAACACAATAATTAAAAATAAAAATGGGTGCACAGGAATTGCCAAACAAGTCATTTATGTTGCATATAATTTCCCTGCTAAAAATTTTTTTGGTGGATGATTGTTTGTTGGTGATTAATTTGGATGAATCACACAGAGTCCCTGTAGTTTGGGATTTGTGTCATTTTAGTCCCTAACTTTTCAATTGTGATACATTTGATTTTGTGACCTGGTTGGCCACACTTAAAACAGGAAAAACCACTCGGTGCACTCTTCCCCAGGCCTGCACTAGGCAAAGGGAAGGTGGATCTAGACTGCTGCGGTTGAGACTGACTTGGAAAAGTGCTCCTGCTCTTCTTGTTGGGTCTGTAGTCCCTGTATGACCCTCGACCCCTAGACCTTGAACCCCGAATTCTCTTCTCCTCGGCCTCCACGGTAATCTCTACGTGTGCCGTCACTTCCACAAGACAGTCATAGTTCCGGATCATATTTCCAGCAACCTTGAACAAGATCTTGGTTCTCAACTTCTTCTCAATTTCAATGCAACGGTGTTCTTCCGTTGCCACCAACTTCGGTGCAAACCGGGACAAACTAGAGAAGGCCGCTTCAAACTCGGCCACGGACATATTAAGTTGTTTGAGATCTTGAAATTCTTGCCTCAACCTCTCCCTAACAGTGGGAGGTAAATATTTATCTTGGAAAGCCACCATAAATGCTTCCCACGTCGGCTCTACTTGACCCTTGGCGTACTTCCACCATTGGTTCGTATCTCCTTTGAGATAGTAACTCGTAAGAGTCACTCTTAGCTCACTGTCTTCAATGTGAAGCATCTCAAATGTCTTCACCGTTTGCTCGAGCCACTCATCCGCCTTCTTAGGCTCGGGGCCACTATGGAACTCATCTGGTTTGGCCCGTAAAAACTCCCTAGTGAGAAAGCTCGCCCTCGTCGCTACGGCGTTCTCTCTAGATTGGTTCTCCGCCCTCAATATATTCATCGACTTCCTCAAGGCCCCCGCCATTTTTTGGGCTAGGGCTCCAATTGCGGCTTGACCCGCTTGTCCCAGAAATTCTGCTTGTCCCACTTGCTCGGCACATTAGCTTGGCCCAACGCCTCCTGTTGCACCGGAACCTCATGGGCCGGTACTCCATGCACACCCCTGCGAGCCCTACAACGCCTTCCACCTCTAACACTACGGGTTTGAACCCTTCCTGGCATACTAATTAAGGAACAAGATAAACAATTCAGCACATAATCTCAAATGTGCCTGCGATCTCTCTCACACGTTTGACCACAACAATTTAATATATTTTCTATCATATAAACAATTCAATTCCACTCTACATAAGCACTTAGTCACGTAAGCACATACGGATTATCCTTTTGTGATCGAATTCGTCCCATGAAAGACCAAGAATTCTTCGTAGAATGAGTATTGATAAAGTACCATTCTAATAAGACCTCAAGGAATTTAACAGGCGCAAACATCCCAAAAGTCCAATCCCATACGTATCTAGTCATGTAAGCATGTTATCATATAGTCACAAAATACAAAACATCTCCTACTCATGCGAAATGAACCCATTGTGGTCTAACAACCACTCCCCGCGAGCCTTAATTATTCAAACCCGGTAGCTCTGATACCAAGTTGTAACGCCTCAAAATTTCTCCAACATAATCTAGGTACATCAACTAACATTTATTATAGAATAATAGCAATTCCCAAATCATCATAACATTGATCATTAAAGTTTGTACAAAATAGTCCCATATGCAAATTATACATTCAATGATATGAAATACATGAATCTATAGCATGTAGAACGTAAAATCCAAAAATAAATAAAATGCCCTCAAGGGGCTTACATGTTTCAAGGCTTAAGCCTGGTTACACAAAATATGGTTTCTTGAACCCATACATATATAGCCCTTGGCTTACAAAAAAATAAATAAATAATATGGTCATAACAAAATAGAGCCTTGTGCTCTCAATACATACATCCACGTCCTAGTTTGGCTGATTCACCACATCTTTCCCTGCAGCAAAATCCCATAGGGGTGAGCATAAAGCCCAATAGAGAAATCCTTAACAAAGTATATACATTTTATACAAGCCTCATAAAAAGGAATGCATATGCCATGCTACTCTTTTGACGTGAAAATCAGATTATCATCTTAATAGAGCCTTGTGCTCTCAATACATACATCCACGCCCTAGTTTGGCGGATTCACCACATCTTTCCCTGCAGCAAAATCCCATAGGGGTGAGCATAAAGCCCAATAGAGAAATCCTTAACAAAGTATATACATTTTATACAAGCCTCATAAAAAGGAATGCATATGCCATGCTACTCTTTTGACGTGAAAATCAGATTATCATCTTTTGAGAATCCTTTTTGCTCAATGATATCTTGAAATCTCAGCAATGCATAAATTATCAGTTTAATTCAAGGGGGACGGTAAATACGACAAAGGTAATCCCTAGGTTGGTGTCTGCAAGTAGGCATAACTAGCACTACCAATACCCCACTTTACCGGTTGCTAATCAGAAGGGAAGTGGTACTTCCTCCGTGCGTGTTTTCGGTCTCTCACCTCGGACACCCGGGCCAACTTAATCAATTCCATCTACACCTCCTCTCCTTACTTACCAACGTATTTATCCCAAAACATTTTAATAGTTTCATTTCACTACATTTCTTTCCCAATGCAAATGTTTTCAAATCTCAACTCAAAATTTGTATACCATGCAATAATAGAAATGCCAATGCAATATATATATATATATATATATGTATCGAGGCAAAATAATAATCCTCCATTGACAATATTTCCCACACAATTTATCAAATTTGATCACAAACTCCCATTCTCCTTTTCAATGCGATTTCATCAATTATCATGTATGAATATATATATATCCAAGTGTTGCATCAATTCCATAATTCATGCGTTCTCATCAATTTGCCATTTCATAACTACGTATGTATATGCATTTAACAATAAATTCAAACAATGTCTCCAAATCCTCATACATCAAGATAGTTGCCATATTTGCAAATAATAATATGAAATTTCCACTCTCTTTCATTTAACAGAAGAAAATCCATAGATTCTCAACATTTTCCAAAACGCCCAATTTCTAGATTTTTCACCAAAACTAGACATTCCTTCATTTCTTAGTAAAAGCTCACCAAAAACATCATTCTTAAGTCAATATGATTCAACTATTCAAGAAAATCTTTGAAAAGAAACAAGAGATGAATTCTTTTCCTTCTAGATCCAAAAACTAAATTTCAAAACAATTAAAGAGGAAATCTCTAAATTAACCGAAACTTGCAAATATATATATGTATATAAAACTCTAAGAAAAATCCCTACCTCATGTTCTTGGAGAGAAGAGATGAAATCCCAAAAAATCAATGGTGACGAATCCCGATCTTCACCGCACACAATGTAACTCTCGAGGAGCTCTTCAACTTTGATGAAGGGACAAAGGGTAAAACTCTAATGGATTAAGGGAAATCAAAGTTTTGATCTTGTTTGGTGTAGGAAATGTAGAGAGGAGGAGGAGAAAAGGGTTTTTCAAGAGAGAGAGAGAGACATACAAAGTGATATACACACAGCCCAAATTGGATTTTTCAGACTCAGCCCGTCCCGTACGTGCGACCCTTATCCCTGCACGTGCGGCTCTCCCAATCCGCACCTCCTCCCGCACTTGCATATAATGCAGTGTGCAAGCCCGGAATTCCTCAGATTCCCGCACGTGCGGCCCTAGTCTTCTAGCCCATAATTTCCTCGGCTCAATCCCCGGCACTCCGGACCAAACCCGCACCCTCTGAAACAAGTGAAACTCAACATCGGAGTAAACAAGAACGAAAATTTTGAAAATAGAAATCCTCCGAACACAACAAACCCAAAGAGAATGATGAGTGAATGGACGCACGACGTAGCCGGCCATCACAACCTTCCCATCATAGGAAATTTTGTCCCCGAAATTAAATCAACTACTCAAAAAGAAAAGTTTCTAGCAATCACAACCATGCTATTACAATTTCAAACCGCAAAATGAATTCTCAACCTACATTTACTATTCTCATCATGATTCCCACACTAACATTGACCATCCAAGATAAACATATGCATGGAGCTTTTCAATAAATTTAGTAACAACTCACAACTTCTTCATGCTTGAAACAATAATGTACATAACAACACGTACTTAACAATTTCAATACATTTCCCCTCTACGCTAGGGAATAAGACTAATGAAAAACAACTTAAGCATGTTCAAATACATCTGGATACTTAGAGCGGACTTCTGCGTCCCGCTCCCACGTTGCTTCCTCAACCCCATAGTGTCTCCACAGCACCTTTACTAATGGTATAGTTTTACCCCGTAGCACTTGCTCCCGGGTATCTAGTATTTGGACCGGTCGCTCTTCGTAAGAGGTATCCTCGTCTACCTTCAAATCAACCCAATCAAGCACATGAGAAGGGTCGGGCTCATACTTCCTAAGCATAGACACATGGAACACATTGTGAACTCTCGAAAGTTGTGGCGGTAAAGCCAACCGATACGTCACTTTCCCAATTCTTTCCATTATCTCGAAAGGCCCAATAAACCTCGGAGACAACTTACCACTCTTACCGAATCTCATCAAACCCTGTCTTGGTGAGATCTTAAGGAACACATGGTCACCAACTTCGAAAGATAAAGGTCGTCTCCTCTTATCAGCATAACTTTTCTGTGGGTTTTGAGCCGTAGCTAACCTCTTTCGAATGAGGGCAACCTTCTCAGTTGTCTCTCTAATAATTTCCGGACCCAACAGCGGTGCATCACCTACCTCGGCCCAACAAACCGGTGATCTACAAGGTCGGCCATACAATGCCTCAAACGGTGCCGTCTCGATGCTAGCTTGGTAACTATTGTTATAGGCAAACTCAATCAACGGTAAGTGCCTCTCCCAAGACTCCTTGAAATCCAGGACGCAAGCTCTAAGCATGTCCTCGAAAATCTGAATAGCATGCTCTGTCTGTCCATCGGTTTGAGGGTGGTAAGCGGTGCTAAAAGTCAACTTAGTTCCCAACACCTCTTGAAGGCTTTGCCTCAACCGAGAGGTAAAACGAGAATCTTTGTCCGATACAATGGTTACGGGAACTCCATGAAGTCGAACTATCTCTCTAATGTACAACTTTGCCAAGTACTCAATTGAGTCGCCGGTACGCATCGGAATGAAATGCGTAGACTTAGTCAACCTATCAACAATCGCCCAAACGGCATCTTTGCCTCGCTGTGTTCTAGGAAGCCCAACTACGAAATCCATGGTGACGTGCTCTCATTTTCACTTAGTTATCGGTAAGCGTTGTAGTAAACCCTCTGGTCTCTAGTGTTCGGCCTTCACTTGTTGACAAGTAAGACAATTTGATACAAATAAAGCGACATCCCGCTTCATGCCCCTCCACCAAAACTGACGACTAAGATCATGATACACTTTGGTGCCTCCCCGGATCAATGCGTGAGTGATGGAACTCCCGAAGTACTTCTCTACAAGATTCTGGTACAAACAAACGGTTACTTAGCGCAACAATATTAAGTTGGAAAAGTTGTGCACAGTGGCTGCTCGGTCTTTGAGAGCCCTTGTACTGGTGTGCCTGGCCCCCTAGGATTCTACAGTTAAAAACCAAGTGAGAGTGGCAGCACGGTCGCACATATGAGCCTGATTTTAGCTCAGTCACTTTGTGCACACTTTGCAGCTTGACTTATATAATTTGTTAGATCCTAGCTCGATCGCGCGAACAGGCCAGATATTAGCCCACTCTAAATGAAATGAGGAATAATTTAGAATTGGGTTAATAAATTTAAAATTATGTTCTTTCTTAAATGTATTTGTTTCAAAGAGAAATTATGGCTTCCTAATGATGAGAGATAAGATTTATGGCAGGGAGTTTTCTTAAATATTCAAATGAAATTTTAAGAAAAAGATACTCTACGTATAATATTTTGAACTTACAAAACATCACCTTACTATATGGTATCATCCTACATGTATGATCATTTCTATCTATGTGATAGTTATTGCTTTAGAACTATGAGATCTCCTACTGGGCATTAGTGCTCATCCCTCGTTGTTTTATTTTTTTTTTCAGGAAGAGAATTCAGATTCATTAGTTGAAGAGTTAAGAAGTGCATGTGTCTCTTATGTGCAATTTCATCGTAGGTGTGAAAGAAGTAAGTATTGTACATTGATATTTGTAGCTTCGTAGCTGAAGCTTGGCATGTATTATTGCTATTGTTGTATTCATTGAGAGAGAGAACATGTGTTATTATGTTTCTATTACTCAAGGGTAAATGATATTTGTTAAAAAAAGAAAAAAAAAAGAGGACCTAAATTAAAGGCGTGTGGTAATGTTTCCGAGTAATTACAAATTGGGGCGTGACACTTTCATTGACATCTGTGAGTCCTTGATATGGTTATATAAACTATTTATTGAGTCCCTCTCGTCTGTTATTGAGTCCTTTCGAGCGCAGAATATTTTTGATGATTATTTTTTTTTAGTTAGATACATTGTGTTTTCTCCTTTGTTATTGAGTTTATTTATTCCTTTATTTATTGTGTTTGTGTGCTCTGGTTTTTGTTCCATTGTGAATAGCATTTACATAGCAAATTTTGTGTTTGTGTGCTCTCATCCAATACTTCTCTTGCACCAGGTTTATGCAAAAGGCTATATAACAATGCTTGCAATAATATCAAAACCACTACTGTAATTAGTTAATTACTTAGAACAATGCTTGCAATAATATCTAATTCCCATATTGATGCTAAGGGAATTAAAAGAAACAATACAAAACCTTGATAGATATTCTATCACTATGGACATGTTTGGGGGTTGAGTAACAGCACCCATGAAAGGAACAATAAGTAGTGAGTTAGAACATAGCAATAGCTTAAAAATAAATAAACAAAAATAAAAGCCATCAAGTAAGGTGATACCCTCAATTTCAGAGCTCAGTTTGTCTAGAAAGTTGTTGATGTTTACCTCCCTTAAAAATTCATTGATTTGCTCTGGATGAAAGTCTTGATCCATAAGAATCTTGTTTTTGCCTCTGGCCTCATTTTCATGAATGCTCAAATAGAATGAGTTCCCAAAGGGTGTGGGAATGTTCTC